TTCAATGCTAAATTCTCCTGTTTGATTTGTACTAGGTGCCTCTGTGAATGTGTATGCTCTGACTTTAACATAGCTATTTCTGTGACCAGTTACAAGCTAATCACTCAGCTATTTCAATGCTAAATTCTATGCTAATTCCTTTGTCAAGGGGTGCCTCTGCGGATGTGTATGCTTTAATTTAGCTATTTCAATGCTAAATTCTATGCTAATTCCTTTGTCAAGGGGTGCCTCTGTGGATGTGTATGCTTTAACTTTAACATAGCCATTTCTGTGACCAGTCACAAGCTAATCACTCAGCCATTTCAATGCTAAATTCTATGCTAATTCCTTTGTCAAGGCGCTTTGTTTCCTCTCACACAGCTTAAAGGTCGCGATCTGAGCGTGGCTTTTTCACTCCAGCGCTGTCCTTCAGACAGTCTCGTCCCTTCACCTGATGAAGGCCGCTTGTGTTGTGGCTGAAACGTCTTGAGAATATTGTGTTATTTAATTTATCAATTTATTATTTTATTCTCATTCTACGTGACTTTACCGAAAGAACCAAAGAAGATGAATCCTTGCAGTCACGAAAGCTTTAAATCGAAAAATAGAACCAAGAATATGAATCCCTGCAGTTACAAAAGCTTTAATTTAAAATTTAAATGCCTCTACGGGGAGGGTTTCCACATAACTTTGAGATCCTTCAACAAACTCCGGGATAAGAAGGCTCAGCTGATCGAGTCTCTCACCTTTCTGAAGAGATGCCGCGACTCTGGGGTAATACCAATCGCATTTACACTGACCTCTGCTGCTGTAACTTCTTCTAATGCGAAACGATTCTTTCCAGAACTAGCTTAGCTCTTATCTCAGAGAAAATCAGACTTATATGCACCGAACTAGATCAGTTAGACAAGACACTCTACAAATCACACTTATCATTGACGGCAACAATGTCCACATCGGATTGGGAACATGTAGACAATATGACTGCCTCTTCAGCTGCCACTATGTCGACCAAATGTAAGGACAACCTGATTTCCAAATTTAACCTCCTCTCCAACAAAAGACCGGCCCCACACACCAAAAAGCTAGACGTTAACAAAGTCGTAATTAATCGCAGTAACAGTTCTATTTCCGATGGTCTGAAATCCGTTTTAGCTAAAGGGCTAAACTTTGCAGTCACACCTAAGCACATACCAGTTAATGATATCATTGCCCAAGTAGACGTGGCTCTCAAGGGCCGGGGTCACATCGCTGCAGACGTAGCAAGACCTGAAATCGCTGCAACCCTCAAAAACGTTAAGATGCCAGCTAACAACCTCAGCAAAGATGAACGTTTTGAATTATAGAAATTAAAAAGAGGGATGGCATTGTCATCCTCTCAGCCGACAAGAGCAATGCCACTGTCATCATGGATAAAATAGAATATAACAAAATTCAAGAATTACTCAACAATGGCAGCTATACAAAAATAAAAATATCCCACCAACAGCCTCGTCATTCAAACCAACAAAATCATTTCTGATTCAACCGCATAAATTGATCAAACCAAGCAGTTCTCGTTGAAACCTTCTGCTGCCAGGCCACCAAGATTATACAGCTTACCAAAAATACATGAAGTAGATACACCTCTTCGTCCCACCGTCTCTACTATCAACTCCCCCACCTACAAACTGGCTCGTTTTCTGTCTGAAATCCTGCGGCTTTTCACTGGAAAAACCACCTCTGCAGTACAAAATTCTACTCACCTGGTATCGACAATCACGGGTATTTCCCTGTCCCCAGACGACCTGTTTGTCAGTTTTGATGTAGTTTCCTTATTCACCAAAGTTCCTGTACCTGACACCATCGCAATCATTGAAGACATGGTTCATTAAGGACTAAAGACTGAGGTACCCCCCCGTGGTGAGACACTGCTTAACCAATACATACTTCACTTGGAATGGAACTTTCTACAAACAAACAGAGGGCACCTCAATGGGCTCCCCCCTATCTCCGGTTGTAGCCAACATTTTCATGGAGAAATTTGAGACTGACGCCATCCAGACTGCCACTCTGCGCCCAACATTATGGGAGAGTTACGTGGATGACACTTTTGTCATCTGACCACATGGCTGGCCTGCTTTAGACCAATTCCTCGACCACATCAATTCCATACACCCAGCCATCAGATTTACTATGAAAGTCGAAAAAGATGGCAAGCTACCTTTTTTGGATGTCCTAATAAAAAAGAGACCTGATGGTTCAATGAGCCACTCTGTCTACAGGAAAGCTACCCATACAGATGCTTACCTGAAACCGGATTCCCACCACCATCCATCCCAGAAGAATTCCTTCATCATGACTCTGCACCATAGAGCCCAATGCATATCCGACCAGGAACACATAGCCAGTGAACTCAAGCACATACACCTAGCTCTTAAGGCTAATGGTTACTCCGACTACACAATCCGCAAAGCTATCACTCCAACCATGAAGAAGGACCCTCTTGAGGAGCCTTTCAAATACATCACTTTACCCTACATTGCGGGGATCACAAAAAAGATCTCCAAAATCTTGAATAAACACAAGATCCAGGTCCGTTTCAACACATTACATAAAATCCGTGATCTGGTTCCGTCTGTAAAACATGTGATTCCGGACATACAGTACCCTGGCGTCTACAAACTAAGTTGCATCTGTGGTAGTAGTTACATTGGAGAAACCAAACGCCATGTCTCGGACTGCATTCATGAACACAAAGCAGACCTTAAACACGGTAGGACCAACACCTCGGCCGTGGCAGATCATTGTTATAATTCAGTAGGCTCACATGACATTGACTTCTCCAAGACAGAGGTTCTTTGCAAGCCATCTGGCTACCATGAGAGATTCGTTCATGAGGCTATCCACATATACAAGCACAGAGACAATTTCAACCGAGAAGATGAATTCTGGCTTAGCAATCATTGGAAAGATTTGATAAACCATTTCAGGTCTTAATTGATTGTTCACGCTTGCAGTGGCTTTCAGACAGCATACATAAATTTTTCGTCTCCCCCCTCCTCTTTTCAGAACATAGATGGACTAGTCCTTCTGAATAAACTGCCAAATCGCTGCGCGTGGCGCTAACGTTTTTTTAAATAAATAAATACACCGTTTAAAAATAAATACATTTATGCAAACCGACACACCTGATGACGACCGTTTGTGTTATGGTCGAAACGTCGTGAGAACCTTTATTGTTTTGTATATATTTTTTTATTTTATTGTTTCCCTTCAACGTGACTTTACCGAAAGAACTAAGATTATAGATGGACTCGTCCATCTGAATAACTGCCAAATCGCTCTCTGTGGTGCTAATGTTAAAAAAAACGCCACTTTTTTAAATTTTCTTGCTGTGGTTTTCACACCTGATGATGATTGCTTGTGTTGTAGTCTAAACGTCATGAGAATTTTATTGTTTTATATTTGTATTATTTTATTGTTTCCCTTCTACGTGACTTTACCGAAAGAACCAATAATAGGTGTTGAGATGTTAAAACACCAAACGTAAACCTTTTACAAGGAATCATGTCTGCATTAACCACAATGCTTGTGGTCAGAATGCAAACAAAAAACACCGATAATATATGCATTGCCCTTTAAACTGATTGGTCCACACCAGAGACAGCTTTCTTTTGAGACTAGGCTTTTGAGACACACATAGAGTGTGTCTCTATCTGCTTGTGTGTATGTCTATGTATCTGTGTTTTGTCTCTCTCTCAAATTGAGAAATCTTTGGAAGAACGTAATCAACCAGGTAGGGTGTTGACTGTTGTGTTAGTGGACTCTCTGTGTTGTATTGCATTATATTTCTAAGTTTACTATGTTTGTTTTCTCATTCTCACCTGATGAAGGTTGCGTGTGTTGCAATCGAAACGTCGTATTCTATTATTTAATTTATTTTCTTTCTACGTGACTTTATCGAAATAACCAAAGAGGATAGATCATATTAGTCCACATGTTCTGTACCACCTTCTGAAAAGCCAAGGTATGGCGCCTTATTACCTAGAGGAAAGGATTTTGGCAACATTTGTGAGATCCACCAACCCTCACCTCAACAAGAGTTAGACCTTGCCTCCAACGTTTATCTGTTTTTTTTATCTCACTTCAGGATTATTTGGCTTCCATGTATCGGAGTGTCTGGTAGCAACTTTCAACGCTCACTTATTGAGCTCTGGCCTTCAATTATAATTATTTAATAACTTGGTTATGACCTGAGTCTCTTTCAGCAGTCCAGTTCCACATAGTTATAACGATAAATGTGCCCTGTGTCCTTTATTCAGAAGATACCATTTTATTTAGTACACATTTTTACTGGAACTTGGTACAGTATTACAAGCCATAGCTCGGGTTGCCACCTTTTTATACACACCAAACCCGTACATATTCTCAGCCTAGGTCTATTAAAACTATGCAGTATATTGTGTAATGACAGTAGAGTCAACCTACGGTGTGAGTGGACTAGTGGTCACGGGAGTTAATGACAGGGGAGTGAGCCTGCAGTACGAATGGACTGGTGGATACAGGAATGATCGAGAATAGGAGCGTGGCTAGGTGACGTAGGAGGACAGTGGAGTCAGCTGGTAGAGCGAGCGGTGTACAACCAGCAAGAAGGTTCGGGAATGGGGGCGTGGCCTCGGACCATATATAAGGGAGATACGCGGCAGACTCGGGGCTGCTGCAGTGGGGTCTCCGCCTGTCCGAATGTGAGCACATTGCTCATGAATAAAGAAAACCTTCCCAGGACAAGTGCGTCGGAGTCGTCTTTACAATTGTAACAACGTTCAACACAGTACCATGACCAGATCTCAATTAATTCCTTCCACCTGGACATAGATGCCAATTCACAAACTTTCCTGGCCAAACCCGGATAGGTGGCAACCCTAGCTACAACGACTATATTACTTTTAAAATGCAGTGTCAATGCTAAGTGTGATGTGTGCGATTAATATCGAGTTTAATTGAATGATGTATTTCAAAAAAATGTCTGTGGTGCTTGCCTTGATACCACGGTGGTGTAAGCTCCCCCATCCACTAATCCGCGACTGTTCTTCCACAAGAACCTTGTCAGCAAAGTCTCGCTCAGGCAAGCAGGCCGGGAGCACCAGCCTCGAGAAATTTAAGGGCCGCTCTAATTGAAGAAGCGCAATGTCATTGTCAAAGGTGATTGGGTCATAGCGGCTGTGAACTACGATATTCTTAATTGGGACGTGTTGTTCGGAGCTCTCCGTCACACCCAGGTTGTGCTCACCTGTAACACAGACACAGCATCTTATTTGTGAACAACTTTATTGCAGAGTTGTAATAGCTACATTAATATCCTACTGGGGGTTGACTTGGCCCATCATCACCTCCGGGGCCGATAACATAAGTAGTCACTTTGTGGGGAAGTCAACAGTGGTTGTCTTATGGGCTGGATCACCCATGACATTGGAATGTGGAATTTCACCACTGGCTCAGGGATATAAAAAGAATAGCACTTCCTCACTGTTTATTTGATCAGGAAACCATACTGACTCTGAATATTCTACACCGTAAACAATGATATCTGTGAGCAATTTTCCATTGCAACACACATTTTGTCATGGCAGTGTTAACACGTATCATTAAAACTGCAATCGCAAATAACTGCTACAATAATACTGCACTTACAATGTTCTACAATAATCACTACAATTATTACAATATATAATCATATGTGATGATCTATCTGCTTATGGTGAGTCTCCCCAACTCACTTCCATCCCTCATTCTCATGATGCTAAAAAACCCAACTTGTTCTTGCATTGCTCCATCTTCGTGGTGGCCACTCTGCACAGGTAGAAACCTTCCTTTAGTTTCCACTCCATCATCAGTTTCGACCATCAGTCATTGTCTCTTATAGAATGTGTTTTTCCCCAGCTCACATGTAAGGGCCTCCCCTTAAGACTCTATTTCACCTCAAGGAAATGCTGTTTGTAGTGAGCAGTGATGCAGTTATGCAATTATGCAGTTATGGCAGTTGGATCTATGAATTCTTAGACTCTCTGGGTTTGACCCAGACAGCCCGAGCACTCCAGCAGTGGATAGATCATTATAGATTTGAAGTTTTCGTGACTGCAGGGATCCATACCTTTCGGTTCTTTCGGTAAAGTCACGTAGGTATAAAATCAAATAAATTAAATCACGACGTTTCGATTGCAACACAAGCAATCATCAGGTGGGAAAACCACAGCAATTTTTTTTTGCTGAAGTCGGAGAGAGAGTTGCTGACATGCAATATCCTGGAGTCTACAAACTAAGTTGCACATGTGGTGGCCGTTACTTTGTGGAAACGAAACTACATATCTCGGACCGTATTCGCGAACACAAGGCAGATCTGAAACACGGCAGAACCAATACCTCTGCCGTGGCTGACCATTGTTATAACGCTGTGGGCTCGCATGATATTGTTTTTTTTCCGAGACCAAGGTACTCTGCAAACCTTCGGGCTACTATCAAAGGTTTTGTTCATGAAGCCATCCAGATATATAAACATAGACATAACTTCAACCGAGAAGATGGATACAAATTGAGCAATCATTGGAAGGATGTTATTAACCAGGTAAAACCCTAACTCCTTTGTATTGGTTATCGTCTATCATATCTGCCGGGTACTACTACACCACGCAGCGCTCGCCATACCCCACACCCCCCACCCCTCCCTCTCCCCCCTGGCTCCTCCCCCTTTCGTATCTATATAACCTCTTACCATGGCAATTCTCTCTCCCACTTCAGCAAATACATTTTCTAACTGTGGTTTTCCCACCTGATTATGATTGCTTGTGTTGTAATCGAAACGTCGTGATTAACATTTTTTTTTTATACCTACGTGACTTTACCGAAAGAACCAAAGAGTATAGATAGGTCATGGCAGATGACCTGGGCAGTCCAGGCATCTGCGTTGAGGTGGCAGGAATTGATTTGTACCAAGATCTTGTGGTATTGTATCAGAATTCATTACAGCTAAACTACAACGTTGTGATAGATCTAGGCTGACTGAGACATGTACAGACGTGGTCTGTGTGATAGGTGGCAACCCTCTGAATAATAATTGATATTTCAGGTTCGATACTTGCCAACCACAACATTCCAGGGTTTCAATGGAAGGCAGTGAGCAGCAGTCAAAATCCATTCCAAGTTGAGGATTGTCCCTCCGCAATATAAATTGTTCTCCAGCTTTACCAGTGCCTGAAAATGAGATGAAGCAACGTTTCTTACACGGCTTAGACATTGGGGTGCTCTCATATGGAAGTGTAGAGGTTCCAGTATGACATATTCGTCCTGCAGCCCATGTGAACTGTCGTTTTCCCTCTGCAGAAACATCATAACATAGGGATAGGCACTGTTGTGACAAGTGCCAGTTTATATGTTTGGCATTCTGAGTTGTGCCGGGATGGCGTACCATTGTGTACCGGCACATTTACACCACAGCTTGTACTATAATAATGAGGTGGCATCACGAAATGTAAGATTGCCTTTCACCCTATGTGTATTATTTATTGTGATTGATGGACAGTCACATTTTTTTTACCTCGATCGAAAGGCATGGGGTCATACATGAGTCAGATTAAGTATCCTGATTTGAAGCTGAATATTCAATCACATCGTAGCTTCAATGGACGCTAGATGAATCAAGTACTCACGTAAAGTGTTGCAACTGGACACAATGACAAGACAACTGACATTCCGTGAAGTGTAATGCCACGTGCCCTACATATTCTGAAATCTTTGAATGTGAGTAACTCACGTGATATATAAAGCCAGCGCCATACCTGCCAGGGGCAGTCACCGCGAGGGCAGTCCATTCCACCGGCAATGGTTTTGACATCTTCCCTCTCTTCTTTGATTGAGGAAGTGTTGTGAGGCTGTGCTTTTAAATTATCATCCGAGTGGCTGGTGGAAAATTCATCCTGACGATTTTCTTCTCTCTTTGCCCGTATTTCCTCTGGGTGCAGCCGCCCACATGGAAACGCCTCTGCATCAAGTCACATGTCATGCATTGGGAAAGTATTTGTGGTGCATCATCACCTGCTGTAAGAATACTGTTATTTAATGGCTAACAGGATACATAGACGAGAGTTTTGTATTGGCACTTCTTTTCGATTGTAACACAAGCGGTCATCCTCTGGCAGAAAATAATAATCCAGCAGTGGAACTGCTGAACCAGGAAGAACACAGCAAGAGCTGTTACAACAGGTTATATATGTGGCAAAGGGCAAGCAGGCGGGGTCTGAGCTGGAAAGGAATTCCATCCCCGCACGCAAGCACGTCAGTTGTGTTAATGGGGGAGATTAGGGAGAGAGATAAGGGAAAGAGATTAGCATGAAATGAGCTTCCGTCGCCGCATAAGAGTATCGTCCCCGCATATGCGCACAACAGCAGTGTTAATGGAAGATTAGCACTATATAGATGGGAGAGATTAGGCAGAGAGATTAGGGGGATTAACAAGTTAATATCATGTCTATGTGTAACACAAGCTGCGGCGCTGCCAACTGCGCTGTGAGAGGCAAGCACGTCAACGCAAGACAACTACCGCAATGGTGGTCGCGCCAGTGAGACACACAGCCCATCAAACAGCCAGAACCATCGATACATCGAGGCTAAGGGAGCAGAGGTGGCCATGTTAGTGAGACCCCAGCCCGTTAATGTAGAGGCACCCAACAGGGCAATGCAACTCAAAGAGTCGGAGATAACAGCCAAACGGCAGGGAAGAATGGAAGCACCTCAGCAAGTTACGATTTTGCTTGGTTAATAACGTCCTTACAATGATTGCTCAGCTTATACCCATCTTCTCGATTGAAATTGTCTCTGTGTTTATATATTTTGATGGCTCCATGGACTAATCTTTGATGGTAGCCCGAAGGTTTGAAAAGTACCTTGGTCTCGTAAAAAACAATATCGCGCGAGCCCAATGCGTTATAACAATTATCAGCCACGGCAGTGTTTCAAATCTGCCTTGTGTTCGCGAACACGGTCCGAGACATGTCGTTTTGTTTCCCCAATGTAACTGCTGCCGCAGACACAACTTAGTTTGTTGACACCAGGGTATTGCATTTCAGGAATGACATCCTTCACAGATGGGATCAAATGACGGATTTTGTGTACTGTATTGAATCAGACCTGGATCTTGTGTTTGTTTAAGATTTTGTAAATCTTTTTGGTAACACCTGCTATGTATGGCAAGGTGATGGTTTTGATTGCGTCCTCAGATGGTTGTCTCCCCATGGTTGGGGATACAGCTTTGCAGATTGTGCCGTCTGAGTATCCATTCATCTTGAGAGCTTGGTGTACGTTCTACAGTTCACTGGCTAGGTGGCGCTGGTTGGAGACGCAGCGGGCCCTATTGTGTAGTGTTTTGATGAGGGAGTTCTTCTTGGTCGGATGGTGGTGGGAATCAGGCTTTAGATAGGAATCGGTGTGGGTGGCTTTCCTGTAGACGGAATGTCCCAACGAGCCATCAGGCCTCTTCTCGATCAAAACATCCAGGAATGGTAGCTTGCCATCATTTTACACTTCCATGGTGAATTTGATGGATGGGTGTATGGAATTGATGTGGTTGAAAAATTGGTTCAGTGCTGGCTGGCCATGTGGCCAGATGACGAAAGTGTCATCTACGTATCTCTTCCACAGGGAAGGATGTAGGGTGGATGTCAGGATGGCATCTGTATCAAATTTCTCCATTAAAACATTCGCTACCACTGGTGATAAGGGAGAACCCATAGGGGTACCTTCATTTTGTTTGTAGAATGTAGCATGAAGTAAGTGTTGGGCTGTGCCTCACCAAAGTTGGTACATGAGGATTCAGTCCCTGTTGGACCAAGTCTTCAATGATTGCTATGGTGTCAGGTATAGGTACCTTGGTGAACAAAGAGTCTACATCAAAGCTGACAAGCAAATAATCTGGAGACAGTGAAATGTCCTTGATTAGAGAAACCTAGTGAGCTGAGTTAAGTACTGCTGAGGTGGTCTTGCCCGTGAATGGAAGCAGGGTCTCAGACAAAAATTGGGCCAGTTTGTAGGTAGGTGAGTTGATGGTTGGAAACGATAGGATGGAGTGGAGTACCTTTTTGGAAGGCCATAAAATCTGGGTGGTCTAGCAGCCGAAGGTTTTAGAGAGAGCTGCTTGGCCGGTTCGATTAGAGAAGTCTAATTAGTGATGATATTGTTGCAAGGATCTTTGTTGATTTTGGTATAACTGCCATTATTAAGAAGGTCCTGGATTTTGTTGTTGTATGTGCTGCATGATGACCTCCCCAAACCACCACCACCTTTCATGATCCTTCGATGCAACAATTTACCGAGCATCTGCGCACACATGGATTTAATGAATCCTACTCTTTGGCGGATGTTCTCTTGGACGTGTTCAATTTCTTGGCTAGAACTCCGTTATTATTCTTGACCAGCAGGCATCGTATATCTTCTAGCCATGACGTCTTTCTCAAGCCAACGGACTTTTCTTGACATTTTGAAGAACATTATTTGCCTGCGGATCTTGTCTAGTCCACATGTTCCTATTTCTGTCTCTCCATTGAATCCGGAGTATCTCTCCATGCTTTGTGCACTTTTCATTTCCCGTTCTTTAATTTTTTTATGACCATTTTTCAGAACCATCTGTCACATCAGTAATGCGCTGATTAAAAAGTATTTCTTTAGGCACATTGGTATGTTACTTATACTTGAATTCTTAACACGATGGAATGACAGTCATAGCATGATGAGGATAACATTGTGGAAGACAAACACGTATTTTATGTTTAATCCCATTTCTTGGTAAATTACTGTAAATGTATTTTTTTTAATGTGTGCAATATCTTGCAATTCTTGCTGCCACATTAGGAACATCGATTTGAGAAACACATTTACATTTATAAAAGTCAGAGTCCCATGGCTAGTGAAATATTATGAGAAATAATATCCACAGTCTGTCGTTGATCCTATAACAGTATTGCATTTCAATACCATCAAATTATATGTCAAAATGGCTGGTTTTAAATATTAGGAAGCATTACACTTTGCGTCCAGTTCTGACAGCATTCCTCACCATGTCCAGCATACATGGATTCTGGTGGCAGACTTTTCTCACGTATGTTATAATATAAAAGAACCACAATTATACAAATAAATTTAATCAATACTAATTGCATTTATTGAGTGCTTTTCATCAAGGATCTCAATGGCTGTTTGAAGACCATAAAAAAATATACATATGGCCCTACCTACTGGTTCACATGTGTGCCCGTCATCCTGCAATCGGTATCCTTTCACACAGGTACACACGGGTGCCTTATTTTCTTGGTCGAGACAAAAATGGTTGCAGCCACCATTGCGAAACACGCAGCCGATCTTTGCTGTGAATACAGAGTGTACATTCGAGATTAAACAAGGCCAAATAAATGCTCGCTAAATTATCCAAAATGGTATACAGTACATGTCATATTTCAAAAGCTAGCTAACATATTCCTTTTGGGATGTTCCTGTCAACTGGAGTAAGCGTTTCTACTGGCCAATAAAATACAGTGTCAGTGGATACTGTACATGATGAAAAAATAAGAATAAGTTTTACCCTTTTTGGCAATAAAACCTAATGCAAGGCATCAAGTCTGTGTTAACCACACATACTTGTGCCAAAACATGCAAACAAACATGCTCTGATAATTATGTAGTGATGTAAATACGCTCATTATAGTGTTAGCGCCAGCCATTATTACAGGAGTGCTGCAGAGCGCCGGGAACCTCCCTATGGGGCTCAAGGGACACGTCACAGGGAGCCGGGAGCTCCTGACTTGATACAGGAGGTGGCATGGCCGAGGGCGGGGCGAGGCCGCGGCCAGGGAAATAAAGGGGGAGCCCCGACGGGGATTGGGGATCGTTTGTGTGGATCGTCCTGGGGTCCCGGTCTCTTCGCTCTTCGTTCTTCGCTCTTCGTTCGCCGGGTTGAGTCTTAGCTTGGCATTGTAGGTCAGGCAGCGTGTGTGCTGACTGGCCGGTTCGCGATAGTTAACCCACATGCACATAGCGAACAGTATAGCCACACCTAGCTACAGAACCCGAAGTGGTTACAGAAGTTGTTTATAAACTTGTTGCTTCCAACTCTAGACGACGAGGTGATCCCACAGATGACCCCGGGTGCTGGAGCCCCGGTACTGGGGTGTTGCTGCCGGCGCAGCAGCAGGACCCAAAGCGAGCTTCGCTGCCGCCGCCAGGGAGGTAACACCACTCCAAGAACGACTGCCTCGGCGACCTCCTGGCCGCCATCGCATCTCTGGCCTCCGTCCTGCAGTGGGAAGATGACCAGTTTAGATGAAAATTTTCTGCCCTGATCCATAAGAATGCATTCCGGGACTCCTTTATCTAAGATGTACCCGTGTAGACAAGTGGTTCTTCTCCACACTTGATTTGCTGTCGGGGTTTTGGCAGTTGCCTTTGGATGACAGCTCTAGACCATAAACTGCTTTCCGCACACCCCAAGGGCTCTTTGAGTTTAACCGGCTTCTGATGGGACTTCACTCAGCCCCGGCCACATTCCAATAGCTAATGGAACTGGTATTGGCAGGCCTACAATGGGACACATGCTTAATTTACTGTGACGAAGTCATTGTCTTCGGACGTACGTTCGAGGAGCACCTGCAGAGGTTGCAGGCAATTTTCCTCAAAATGCGGGGTGCTAAACTCAATTTAAACTGCAGAAGTGCCATCTGTTGCAGAGATCGGTCCTGGTACCTAGGCCACATCATCGGCGAATCTGGGATATCAACAGACCCGGACAAAACTGCATGCGTGCATGTGTGCGCACGTGGCCAACCCCCAAGTCGATGGGTGAGGTGCGTAGTTTTGTTGGGTTCACCTCTTATTATCGACATTTCATTCCCGGGTTCGCCATGATCGCTAAGCCTCTCCATGTCCTCACTGCCAAGGGACAGAAATTTCGGTGGGGGGAGGAGGAGGAGGCTGCGTTTGCCACGCTGCGAGATGGCCTGGTCAACGCGCCTCCCCTTCAGTACCCCGATTTATCTTTACCCTTCATCCTTGACATAGACGCCAGCAACACGGGTATTGGTGCCGTATTGTCACAGGTTATAGACGGAGTGGAGCGGGTGGTTGCATACGGGAGTAGGGTGCTGTCTCCGGCGGAGTAGCGCGACTGCGTTACGCGCCGAGAGTTGCTGGCAATAGTTTACTTCATCCAGCAGTACCGTCCGTACCTCTATGGACGGAAATTTGAGGTGCGCTCGGATCACGTGGCTCTGCAGTACACGCTGCATGTCGAACAGCTGTCGGGCCAGCTGTCCCATTGGCTTGAAGTCTTTCAGGACTACGTGTTCGTAGTCTCCTTTAGAAAGGGCGTCTGCCATATAAATGCTGACACGCTGTCAATGTCAAGATTGCCACCTAGTGGCCAGTGCGCGTGAATTTCGGGTGCAGGACAGTGCAAGCACACTGATACAGCTCCACCCTGAACTGTTGTCGCTGCAGCTGACGTTGCACACACAGACGCGCTGACATGTGGGATCACATGCTTGGTCTCACCAACACCGAGTGGGGGCAACTCCAGGGAGAGGACGCCTCCTTATTCAAAATTAAACACCGCGTTAGAGACTCCGAGGATAGCAGGAACCGACGAGCTTTATCCACGGTAATCCTTCAAGGGGGCCTCCTGATGAGATGGGATGCAGAATTGCACAAGTACAATGTGGTCGTTCCCACCATCTTGCGGGGCAAATTGATCTGGGCGACACATGAACGCATTATGCATCTGGGTGTCCAAAAGACCCTGTCCACTCTCCGCCTCAACTTTTTTTGGCCTGGCATGGCTGGAGATGTTCAGAATGTGTTGAGAGCATGCACTGAATGCGCTCATCGAAAACCTCCACCAAAAATGGCTTGTCCCCCCCTGCAATCGATTAGCATGTCCCGGGTGAATGAGCTCGTTGCGCTCGACATGCTCCTGTCTCTTTCCCACCATCTCACGGGGAAACAAGTATTTGTTGGTGGGTGTAGAGTACCTTTCGCGGTGGCCAATGGCCTGGCCGGTGCCGGACCAGTCGGCTGCGGCGATCACGGATGCTTTTCTCCATGGGTACATCTTAGATATGGGAGCCCCGGAATGCCTTCTTATGGATCAGGGCAGAACATTTTCATCTAAACCGCTCAAGGAGGTATGTGACCTGTTGGCTACCAAGAAGGTCCGCACCTCGCCCGATCACCCGCAGATTGACAGCGGAACAAACTGACTGGGACCTGCACGTCCCAGGTATTCTCGCTGCATACAGATTGGCCCCTCACGCTTCCACCGGCTACTTGCCGTTTTTCCTCATGTATGGGAAGGAGCAAGATCCACCAACTGAGATTAAATTAAATCCGGAGCTGGAGATCAATACCCAACTCCATACGCCTTACCCTCCAGCGCTTGTCTGAAGCTAGGGAAGCTTCCCGAGGAAATTCGGCCTTAATACAAGCTGCAAACGAGCGGCGGGTTGGGTTCCAGGAAAAATGGAACAAAAAATGGTCATTAGGAGATAGGGCGTGGCTTCACTGCCCCCAGGTCCCGGTGGGGACATCCCCTAAACTATATAAGCCTTGGCGAGGCCCCGTGGAAATTGTAGAGGTTAAAAGCTCACAAAGTGTCCGCATCCATATTCTTAGCTCTTTCGGTAAAGTCTTTACTGAAAGAGCTAAGAATATGAATTACTGCAGTCACGAAAGCTTTAAATCAAAATTTTTGTCCGCATCCAGTTCGATTATAGGGACTGGTTTGTACACTCGTCGCGACTTAAATCTTGTTGTCCGCCTAACGGCGTCCCTTCATCTTTACTACCTGGGGACTCTGTTTTGGGTGCGCCCGACGAGCTGGGGCGAGTGCCAGTGGATGTGGTGCCTCAGGGGACTTCTCCTCCTTCCCCTGCAGGACCCAAGCACCTAGAATCCTTGGAGCAGCCGGTTGCACCAGCTGGAAGTGGCTCAAGGAGAGAGGAGCGACCAGCATCCGCCCCTTCTTCTCTGGCCGGGCCTCCTTCTTCTTCTCGGGAGGGGCTGGGGCCGTTAGGCCATCTTAAACCGGTCCCTGGGTCTCCCGGGAGGGCTTTCCTCACCCCACCTGGGGGCCCGGCGAAGAGGACCTGCTCAAAAACTGCCCGTTTTAAATTACTCTTGTCCTGCAAGCCAGGATTGTCCGCACTTGTCCGGTTGTGGTCTCACTCGCGAGCTGGGGGGGTCATTGGCTGACCTGGGCTCTTCCTGTGCTCGTGGGTGTGGGATTCTGATGGCTGCCGAGAGAACGGGTCAGCCTTTGTATATACCTATCTTCCCTTCTCTTTCACCCCTTGCGGACTATGTATATAGTGTTTGGGTTATTGTTCCAGCGCAGGTTGTTATTTGTTAATTATTGATTTGTTGTTGTTCTGATTTAAAATTGGGGGCCACACTTTTGGTAATTAAGAAATAATGATCAGCAGGGACGGCTGTATTTTATGAAGGTGGGGGGTAGTGTAGTGACGTAAATACGCTCACTATTGTGTTAGCGCCAGCCACTATTACAAGAGTGCTGTTGAGTGCTAGGGACCTCCCTCGGTGGCTCGAGGGACACGTGACGGCGAGCCGGGAGCTGCTGAATTGATACAGGAGGGGCCGTAGCCGAGGGTGGGGCGAGGCCGTGGGGATCGTCCTGGGGTCCCGGTGTCTTCGTTCTTCACTCTTCGTTCGCCGGGTTGAGTCTTAGCTCTACATCGTGGGTCAGGTAGTGTCTGTGCTGACTGGCCCGTTCGCGATAGTTCATGCACATAGCGAACAGTTTAGCCACACCTAGCTGCAGAACCCAAAGTGGTTAGAGAAGTTGTTAATAAACGTGTTGTCTCCAACTGTGCGCCTCTGAACGTGACACTACAATTATATACACGTTGTTTTTTAAACCAATTGGCCTTATTGCCAGAAAGGGTAAAAGCCTATTATTATTTTTCTTCATAATTTTGATAATACCAGCAAAAAAGGTCCCACGTAATACTGTATATGTTTGAGTTGGCCAGGTGACTGAGACAGATAATTGCCGTGTCAGAGCACTCAGCCAGCACCGCATTGATGTCAGTTTCATTTCTAGGTTTTAGCCACTCACGATGAAAGCAAGTTTTAAAATGCAACACATTTTGAGATAACATTGCATATAAACCCAACTATATCTTAAGACGCTGTGCATTAAGTGTTTATTTTATAAAGAGAAAAGTGAAAGTCAATTTCGTGAAAACAGTTAGGTCTTGAATAGAGACAGGGAGTCGACGTCATGGATGTCTGAGGAAGTCTGAGGAAATTCAGTTGTAGTCAATGGAAGTAGCAGAGAGACTTTGCAAAAAAGCATTGGTTGCCAGAACAATGAGTGCACAGAATGGGATGAAGTGAGATTAGAGGGGAGACGGAAGAGAGTGCACATACAAGAGAACAATGGCATAAGAGGGGAGAGACAGGAGAATTTGCTGATGTCTTGAATTCTTGTTCCCCTGGCCTTGCCGCAGCTGCCAGTTGGCTGCCAGGTCTTGTGTGGAATGGAACCAATCAGTCCTGGCTACAGCTCCTTTCGGATGGGAGACCCGGGGGGAGGGGGTGGTGGGCAGTAGATCATGATAGTGATTCAACACTCAGGAAAATTACCTTTGGTGGGCCAAAGGGACATTGGTGGTACAGGGTCCATCCCAGAATGCCCTGTCACGCTGGCCCAAGAGCCCCACCCAATTCACCTGGGGAACTGTAGCTTTACATGGTTAATGGATTTAGAGGAATTACCTATACTCTTTGGTTCTTTCGCTAAAATCACGTAAGTAGAAAATAAAATAAAAAATAATACATCACGACGTTTCGATCAAGCACAAGCGGTCGTCCTCAGGCAGCAAAAATAATCCAACAGTGGAACTACTGAAGCAGGAAGAACACAGCGAGAGAGCTGTTACAACAAGAGGTTATATACGTCGCAAAGGGCAAGCAGGTGGGGTCTGAGCTGAAAAGGAATTCCATCCCCGCACGCAAGCACGTCAGTTGTGTTAATGGGGGAGATTAGGGAGAGAGATTAGGGAGAGAGATTAGCATGAAATAAGCTTCCGTCGCCACATAAGAGTATCGTCTCCGCATTTGCGCACAACAGCAATGTTAATGGGAGATTAGCACTATGTTGATGGGAGAGATTAGGCAGAAAGATTAGGGGGATTAGTAAGTAATTGCCATGTCTATGTGTAACACATGCTGCGGCGCTGTCAACTGCGCTGTAAGAGGCAAGCGCGTCAATTAGAGGCCGACTGAAATTCGGTTTTGGTTTCGGCGCCGAAAGTTGGCAAATGGCCTCTTTCGGCATACTTTAGGTTTCGGCTGAAAGTCAAACTGTTATTTCTTAACTACAACATTTGTTTGTTTGGATATAATTACGAAGTATGTAACACCTAAAGATTTGATATTTAGCAACTCTTACTGCAGGCTCTGAATGATTAGTTCTAGATTGATTTTTTAATTAAAGTAGCATTGCATCATGACATATTTCAGAAATCTTGTGTTCAGTAACTTCGGTTATATAACTTTCTGTTTCGGTCTCGGTCGAAAGTGTAGTGGTTTCGGCTTCGGTTTCGGCCGAAAGTCAATTTTTTACTTTCGGTCTGGTTTCGGCCAAAATTCAGTTTCGGTCGGCCTGTCGCGTCAATGCAAGAGAACCACCACAACGGTGGTCGCGCCAGGGAGACACACAGCCAGAACCATCGATACATTGAGGCTAAGGGAGCAGAGGTGGCCATTTAGTGAGACCCCAGCCCGTTAATGCAGAGGCACCCAGCAGGGCAATACAACTCAGAGAGTCGGAGATAACAGCCAAACGGCAGGGAAGAATGGAAGCACCACAGCAAGTTACGACTTTGCTTGTCCTTCCAATGATTGCTCAGCTTATACCCATCTTCTCGGTCGAAATTGTCTCCGTGTTTTTATATCTGGATGGCTTCATGGACAAATCTTTGATGGTAGCCCGAAGGTTTGCAGAGTACCTTGGTCTCGGAAAAAAAAATACCATGCGAGCCCAATTCATTATAACAATTATCAGCCACGGCAGAGGTATTGGTTTTGCCGTGTTTCAAATCTGCCTTGTGTTTGCGAAAGGTCCGAGACTTGTCGTTTCATTTCCCCAATATAACTGCTGCTGCAGACACAACTTAGTTTGTAGACACCAGGGTATTGCATGTCAGGAATGACATCTTTCACAGATGGGATCAAATCACGGATTTTGTGTACTGTATTGAATCGGACCTTGATCTTGTGTTTGTTTAAGATTTTGGAAATATTTTTGGTAACACCTGCTATGTATGGCAAGGTGATGGTTTTGATTGGGTCCTCAGATGGTTGTCTCCCCATGGTTGGGGATACAGCTTTGCGGATTGTGCGGTCTGAGTATCCATTCATCTTGAGGGCTTGGTGTACGTTCTTCAGTTCACTAGCTCGGTGGCGCTGGTCGGAGATGCAGTGGGCCCTTGGTGTAGTGTTTTGATGAGGGAGTTCTTCTTGGTCGGATGGTGGTGGGAATCAGGCTTTAGATGGGAATCGGTGTGGGTGGCTTTCCTGTAGATGGAATGTCCCAACGAGCCATCAGGCCTCTTATCGATTAAAACATCCAGGAATGGTAGCTTGCTATCATTTTACACTTCCATGGTGAATTTGATGGATGGGTGTATGGAATTGATGTATTTTAAAAATTGGTTCAGTGCTGGCTGGCCATGTGGCCAGATGACAAAAGTGTCATCTATGTATCTCTTCCACAGGGAAGGATGTAGGGTGGATGTCAGGATGGAATTACCTATCCAGAATTTCCACCAATTCAGCATAAAAGTTATGCACGAATCAATAAATAAGCAGACGATACACTGCCTTCCTATTATACCTGTCTCACTGCATAAAATATTAAAGGGTATTTTATGCATCTCATCAGCCATATGGCCTGAGAATAGCTGTATGGCCATTGGATGTGTACAGACATCCTTTAATGTTTTTATGTGCAGAGACAGAGGCGGCATATTTTATACACGTATTTATTTTATGACTTATATTCTCCACAACTATGCTAATGATGAATTTGTGTTATGTACTATTCATTCATTCATCACGCATAGTCAGCAAAGGAGCATTGCGCCAAATGTGTGCCCTCTTGCGACAGCATTCGCATGAACTACTCTTGGCTACCATACACTGGCATCTCGAGTGATGTTTGATCCATGGATCGCAGTCCACTTCGAACGTCGACCGCCAACTAAAGTGCGCTATTTGCTGCTGGAGTTTGCGCATCAATACAGGGTGACGTGTCCACAAAGTGATAGCCATCTCCCACGAACTTAGCTCTTGATCGCTTGGAGATCTGTCGCAGATTTCTGATGAATTCGAACCATCGGATGCCAAGAAGGCTTCGCGTGTGGAAGGACTGCAGCTGATCCAAATCAGCTTGAAGCACTGTCCAGGCCTCCGCACCGTACAGCAACAAAACTGACAAAACACATCACTAGTCGACTCTCAATCTGGTGCCCAGACTTAAACTTTTCTGGGATCAAATGCGATTCAGATCGCATTTACTATACATTAATTGGGCTAATAAACTCTCAAACCTTAATTTGTGTGCCAAGTAAGCAAAGGTTTAACCAGCCATAGGAGCTCCGTGCAATAAAACTGTGATTTCCCTCACAACGTTAGGTTTCCGTGTATGTTGAACGCACTCAGCTCACAGTTGTTCCCTTCAAAGCCATTTGGGCAAATGCACGTGTACATCTTGACACCATCCTTGCAGATACCATTATTGAGGCACTGATTTGGATCACACTGGTTTCCATCTGCAGTGAAAGAAAACATTTCAATTCTCAGAGTAATTCTCAGACAGTTGCATTATATTGTGTACAGCAATTACATTGAATAGCATTGTTTGTTGAATTATGAAAATGTATATGGTATAAAGGTAAAATTCTCCAGTATAAATAAATGAACGGCAGTGTTCAGTATATCTATTAGGAATTTCATATAGTGGAATATATTCAGGGTCAGTTGAATATTCCTACGTGTTAATTACTATGAAGTGTGCTACAATGTAAACATTTTTTTTCACCCCTTCATGAAAGGTTTTTTTTGGGAGTTGGTCAACTCTTCGTGAGATGTATTATTTGTAGTCTGTTCTTGAATCTTTATTATCGGTTGTTTCTTAATTTTATTTTGCCAATACATTTGAAATTATCAATCTAAATTATATATTCTACCTTTCAAACAGTCGATTAAATTTCGATTTAAAGCTTTCGTGACTGCAATGATTCATCTTCTTTGGTTCTTTCGGTAAAGTCACGTAGAATGATAATAAAATAATAAATTGATTGTGTTATTTTATTTTATCAATTTATTATTTTATTATCATTCTACGTGACTTTACCGAAAGAACCAAAGAAGATGAGTCGATTAAATATCTGTTGAACCAGCTTCAAGGCTTAAATTATTTTTTATATTTTCAATGTCTTTTTTATTTTTTCATTTCATAATACATTTTTTTCAAATAGATGTTTTGTATTTCATTAATGTATATCTGCATGTATTATCTAGGCATTGCTGTTATCCAGGTGGGCTGCTGTGCAAAGATCGCAGCTGGTTGTGAAGACATCCACATGAAGGCGATTCAGTTGCATTCAACCAAGTTGTGCAACTGATCGCTCACGTGTGACCGTATTCTTAATCCCAGTGCACACAGAGACATTACTTCAAGGGACACACAGAACATCATTGGGCAGATTCTTGTGCTAAGGTTGTCCATGTGCCGATTAACTCATTGGCGCAGCAATGCAGAGCCTCGACCTGTCTCTACTGCGTCAGGTGCTGTCACTTTCTGACCCGTCCCTACTGGACAGAGGTATTCTGTCCCTATCAACGTGCAGCGTTGAGGTCAGCTGATAGTCATTACCCTGGCTCTGCATTCCCGGGATCTGGCTGAGGAGGGGAGGAGAGGTGGCGAGATGAGGAGGAGCAGAGGCGAGGTCGAGAGGATGAGAGGGGGAGAGGTGAGGAGGGGAGGGGGAGAAGTGAGAGGAGGCGAAGAGTGAGGAGGAGAGGCAAGGGGGAGAGACGAGGAGGGGTGAGGAGGCGAGGAGGAGAGAAAGCGAGAGACGAGGGGGAGAGGTAAGGAGGCGAGGTGAGGCAAAGAGGTGAGGAGGGGTTGAGGTGAGGAGTAGAGGTGAGGAGGAGAGGCGAGGACGTGGCTTCTGGTGTTCTAACTCCGCGACTTTGCAGCTCTACCCCATCGCGTCAGAAGTTCGCCCACACTGTATGTACTGTACTTTGAACTTCTTTCGCACTGTACGTAGCCAAACGTGCTAATCGGCGATAGCTACTTTTAAATGAAGTCTTTAGATGTATTTCTATAATTTAGCCTCCTGATTTTATTCTGACATCTATGACCTTCAACCTTGTGGAGCTATGAAAGGCGCTCGATAAATGAAGATTATTATTCTTAGTTTTTTCGGTAAAGTCACGTTGAAGAGAAACAACAAAATAACAAAATATATATAAAACAATAAAAAATTCTCACGACGTTTCGACCATAACTCAAACGGTCATCATCAGGTGTGTCGGTTTGCATAAATTTATTTTTAAAACGGTACATTTATTTATTTATAAAAAAACGTTGGCGTCACGCGCAGCGATTGGCAGTTTGCCCAGGACTAGTCCATCTATTTTTTTTTAAGAGGAGGGGGGAGACGAAATTTTTTATAATGTATGCTGTCTGAAAGCCACTGTAAGCGTGAACAATCAATCAAGAACTGAAATGATTTATCAAATCTTTCCAATGATTGCTAAGATAGAATCCATCTTCTCGGTTGAAATTGTCTCTGTGCTTGTATATGTGGATAGCCTCATGAACGAATCTCTCATGGAAGCCAGATGGCTTACAAAGAACCTCCGTCTTGGAAAAGTCAATGGCATGTGAGCCTACTGAATTAGAACAATGATCTGCTACGGCCGAGGTGTTGGTCCTACCGTGTTTAAGGTCTGCTTTATGTTCACGAATGTGGTCCGAGACATTGTGTTTGGTTTCTCCAATGTAACTACTACCACAGAGGCAACTTAGTTTGTAGACACCAGGGTATTGTATGTCCGGAATCACATCTTTTACAGACGGAACCAGATCACGGATTTTATGTAATGTGTTGAAACGGACCTGGATCTTGTGTTTATTCAAGATTTTGGAGATCTTTTTTGTGATCCCAGCAATGTAGGGTAAAGTGATGGTTTTGAAAGGCTCCTCAAGAGGGTTCTTCTTCATGGTTTGAGTGATAGCTTTGCGGATTGTATAGTTGGAGTAACCATTAGCCCTAAGAGCTTGGTGTACGTGCTTGAGTTCACTGCTTATGTGTTCCTGGTCGGATATGCATTGGGCTCTATGATACAGAGTCTTGATGAGAGAATTCTTCTGTGATGGATGGTGGTGGGAATCCGGTTTCAGATAAGCATCCGTATGGGTAGCTTTCCTGTAGACAGAGTGGCTCATTGAACCATCAGGTCTCTTTTTAATTAGGACATCCAAAAAAGGTATCTTGCCATCTATTTCGACTTCCATGGTAAATCTGATGGCTGGGTGTATGGAATTGATGTGGTCAAAGAATTGGTCTAGAGCAGGCCGGCCATGTGGCCAGATGACAAAAGTGTCATCCACGTACCTCTTCCATAAGGTTGGGCGCAGAGTGGCAGTCTGGATGGCGTCAGTCTCAAATTTCTCCATGAAAATGTTAGCTATAACTGGAGAAAGGGGGGAGCCCATTGGGGTGCCCTCAGTTTGTTTGTAGAAAGTTCCATTCCAAGTGAAGTATGTATTGGTTAAACAGTGTCTCACCAGGGGGGGTACCTCAGTGTTTAGTCCTTGATGAACCAAGTCTTCAATGATTGCAATGGTGTCAGGTACAGGAACCTTGGTGAATAAGGAAACTACATCAAAACTGACAAGCAGGTCGTCTGGGGACAGGGAAATACCCTTGATTGTTGATACCAGGTGAGTAGAATTTTGTACCGCAGAGGTGGTCTTTCCAGTGAAAGGACGCAGGATTTCAGACAAAAAACGAGCTAGTTTGTAGGTGGGGGAGCTGATAGTAGAGACTATGGGACGAAGAGGTGTATCAACTTTATGTATTTTTGGTAAGCCGTATAATCTTGGTGGCCTGGCAGCAGAAGGTTTCAACGAAAACTGTTTAGATTGATCAATTAATGTGGTTGAATCAGAAATTATTTTGTTGGTTTGTGTGACGAGGCTGTTGGTGGGATCTCTTTTTATTTTTGTATAACTACCATCGTCGAGTAATTCTTTAATTTTGTTGTTGTATTCTATTTTATCCATGATGACAGTAGCATTGCCTTTGTCAGCTGAGATAACTACAATATCATTCCTCTTTTTTAATTTATATAATTCAAAACGCTCATCTTTGCTGAGGTTGCTAGCTGGCATCTTAGCGTTTTTGAGGGTTGCAGCGATTTCAGATCTTGCTACGTCTGCAGCGATGTGACCCAGGCCCCTGAGAGCAACGTCTACTTGGGCAATTATATCATTAACTGGTATGTGTTTAGGTGTGACTGCAAAGTTTAGACCTTTAGCTAAAACGGATTTCAGACCATCGGAAATAGAACTGTTACTGCGATTAATTACGACTTTATTAACGTCTAACTTTTTGGTGTGTGGGTCCGGTCTTTTGTTGAAGAGGAGGTTAAATTTGGAAATCAGGTTTTCCTTACATTTGGTCGACATAGTAGCAGCTGAAGAGGCAGTCATATTGTCCACATGTTCCCAATCCGATGTGGACATTATTGCCGTCAATGATAAGTGTGATTTGTAGAGTGTCTTGTCTAACTGATCTAGTTCTGTGCGTATAAGTCTGATTTTTTCTGAGATAAGAGCTAAGCTAGTTTTGAAAAGAATTCGTTTCGCATTAGAAGAAGTTACAGCAGCAGAGGTCAGTGTAAATGCGATTGGTATTACCCCAGAGTCGCGGCATCTCTTCAGGAAGGTGAGAGACTCGATCAGCTGAGCTTTCTTATCCCGGAGTTTGTTGAAGGATCTTAAAGTTATGTGAAAACCCTCCCCGTAGAGGCGATTAAATTTTGATTTAAAGCTTTCGTGACTGCAGTAATTCATATTCTTAGTTTTTTTCGGTAAAGTCACGTTGAAGAGAAACAACAAAATAACAAAATATATATAAAACAATAAAAAATTCTCACGACGTTTCGACCATAACTCCAACGGTCATCATCAGGTGTGTCGGTTTGCATAAATTTATTTTTAAAAGGTACATTTATTTATTTATAAAAAACGTTGGCGTCACGCGCAGCACAGAACTAGATCAGTTAGACAAGACACTCTACAAATCACACTTATCATTGACGGCAATAATGTCCACATCGGATTGGGAACATGTAGACAATATGACTGCCTCTTCAGCTGCTTCTATGTCGACCAAATGTAAGGAAAACCTGATTTCCAAATTTAACCTCCTCTTCAACAAAAGACCGGACCCACACACCAAAAAGTTAGACGTTAATAAAGTCGTAATTAATCGCAGTAACAGTTCTATTTCCGATGGTCTGAAATCCGTTTTAGCTAAAGGTCTAAACTTTGCAGTCACACCTAAACACATACCAGTTAATGATATAATTGCCCAAGTAGACGTTGCTCTCAGGGGCCTGGGTCACATCGCTGCAGACGTAGCAAGATCTGAAATCGCTGCAACCCTCAAAAACGCTAAGATGCCAGCTAGCAACCTCAGCAAAGATGAGCGTTTTGAATTATATAAATTAAAAAAGAGGAATGATATTGTAGTTCTCTCAGCTGACAAAGGCAATGCTACTGTCATCATGGATAAAATAGAATACAACAACAAAATTAAAGAATTACTCGACGATGGTAGTTATACAAAAATAAAAAGAGATCCCACCAACAGCCTCGTCACACAAACCAACAAAATAATTTCTGATTCAACCACATTAATTGATCAATCTAAACAGTTTTCGTTGAAACCTTCTGCTGCCAGGCCACCAAGATTATACGGCTTACCAAAAATACATAAAGTTGATACACCTCTTCGTCCCATAGTCTCTACTATCAGCTCCCCCACCTACAAACTAGCTCGTTTTTTGTCTGAAATCCTGCGTCCTTTCACTGGAAAGACCACCTCTGCGGTACAAAATTCTACTCACCTGGTATCAACAATCAAGGGTATTTCCCTGTCCCCAGACGACCTGCTTGTCAGTTTTGATGTAGTTTCCTTATTCACCAAGGTTCCTGTACCTGACACCATTGCAATCATTGAAGACTTGGTTCATCAAGGACTAAACACTGAGGTACCCCCCCTGGTGAGACACTGTTTAACCAATACATACTTCACTTGGAATGGAACTTTCTACAAACAAACTGAGGGCACCCCGATGGGCTCCCTCCTTTCTCCAGTTATAGCTAACATTTTCATGGAGAAATTTGAGACTGACGCCATCCAGACTGCCACTCTGCGCCCAACCTTATGGAAGAGGTACGTGGATGACACTTTTGTCATCTGGCCACATGGCCGGCCTGCTCTAGACCAATTCTTTGACCACATCAATTCCATACACCCAGCCATCAGATTTACCATGGAAGTCGAAATAGATGGCAAGATACCTTTTTTGGATGTCCTAATTAAAAAGAGACCTGATGGTTCAATGAGCCACTCTGTCTACAGGAAAGCTACCCATACGGATGCTTATCTGAAACCGGATTCCCACCACCATCCATCACAGAAGAATTCTCTCATCAAGACTCTGTATCATAGAGCCCAATGCATATCCGACCAGGAACACATAAGCAGTGAACTCAAGCACGTACACCAAGCTCTTAGGGCTAATGGTTACTCCGACTATACAATCCGCAAAGCTATCACTCAAACCATGAAGAAGAACCCTCTTGAGGAGCCTTTCAAAACCATCACTTTACCCTACATTGCTGGGATCACAAAAAAGATCTCCAAAATCTTGAATAAACACAAGATCCAGGTCCGTTTCAACACATTACATAAAATCCGTGATCTGGTTCCGTCTGTAAAAGATGTGATTCCGGACATACAATACCCTGGTGTCTACAAACTAAGTTGCCTCTGTGGTAGTAGTTACATTGGAGAAACCAAACGCCATGTCTCGGACCGCATTCGTGAACATAAAGCAGACCTTAACCACGGTAGGACCAACACCTCGGCCGTAGCAGATCATTGTTCTAATTCAGTAGGCTCACATGCCATTGACTTTTCCAAGACGGAGGTTCTTTGTAAGCCATCTGGCTTCCATGAGAGATTCGTTCATGAGGCTATCCACATATACAAGCACAGAGACAATTTCAACCGAGAAGATGGATTCTATCTTAGCAATCATTGGAAAGATTTGATAAATCATTTCAGTTCTTGATTGATTGTTCACGCTTACAGTGGCTTTCAGACAGCATACATTATTAAAAATTTCGTCTCCCCCCTCCTCTTTAAAAAAAAAAATAGATGGACTAGTCCTGGGCAAACTGCCAATCGCTGCGCGTGACGCCAACGTTTTTTAAATAAATAAATAAATGTACCGTTTTAAAAATAAATTTATGCAAACCGACACACCTGATGATGACCGTTTGAGTTATGGTCGAAACGTCGTGAGAATTTTTTATTGTTTTATATATATTTTGTTATTTTGTTGTTTCTCTTCAACGTGACTTTACCGAAAAAACTAAGAATATGAATTACTGCAGTCACGAAAGCTTTAAATCAGAAGATTATTATTGTTTTAAATTCCTAAAATGTGTATTGTCTTACAAAGTATGCAACATACATGCATCAAATTAGATTTTGCACACATTCCTAGAGGTAATTTAGGGACATTTAGCAATGTATTTAGAAATTACATTTAGTACTTACCGACATATGTGTTCCAGAAATCATTCTGGAAAAAAAAACACGTTTCATGAGCATTGTGATTACTAAAGAACTGTAAATTATGGTAAGTTCAAATATTTAAGTGCGGAAGTACAATACGATTCTTAACCCAAAATATATCTTCATAAGCAAGATAGTACACGCAAACTTTTCCCATCGTGGGGGTTTCCAATCGTGGATATGACCATTCGCACCAAATATATTGATGTACAGTTCGCCGATTGCTCCCCTGTGACTGCACCATTCACGTGTTAGTTATCCATAAATATATTTGTTTTATGGCTACGTAGGCTGTTTCATGAGCTCAAACGAGTTATGCAGTGGTCAGAAAAGTGTCCTGGTACTCTTGATTGCCAGGTTTTCGGAATGAAGCAGATGAGCTGGAAAATACCTCTGAAGTGCTGCCCTGTGGTTAAAACGTGCACAGGTTTCGGTGTGGAAAATATGCAATGTAGAAGTGTGTTCGTGCTAGAATATTAATGTAATTTACCCTGCATTGCCATGTCGGATCTCTGTGTATTGGAAGTTTTGTCCTTGGCCTAGTTTTGGCTTTGTGTGGGCCCTGTGTGCACATCTCTTAATGTTCGACGGCTTGTGCACCAGATCTTATTTATTCACGATGTACTTACAAAAAATTCCGCAGACTACCTACTGGATCTCCTCTCTGTTTCAAAGAACAAATTTGACCTCAGGTCTTCGCTCATTTACCAGCTTCACATTCCCTATTGCCGTACAAAAACTGGAGGAAGGGCCTTTGCTATTGATGTCCCCAGGGTCTGGAATGCTATTGCCAATAAACTGCAACTTGAATCACTACCTATGAGAGCTTCACTCAAAACTGCTCTAGAGGAGTTGTACAACCCTAGCTGCCACTGCTATTCAGTGGCCTAAAATATGGCTCTAGATTTTGGTGTTATAATTTATTTATGTAATTTATTGTTAAAAATTCGGTCACAGTCCCTATGATCACTGTTACATTGGATTTATGGCTTTTATTTTGGTGATTTCGAAAAGTTTTTTTTTGTTTTGGCCATGTTTTTGTTTATTGTAGTACGGAGTTAGACTGATGGCCTTAATCTTAGTTGTCTTGTGGTTGTTGTTGTTGTTATTTGACTTGCATCCCACTGGGATTTTTGCACACAGCGTTGGTGTACGGTGCTATTTCAGGAATATTTTGATATTTTTTCCTGTATTTTTTGTTTTCACAGTCACATAATCACTTTAAGATGTTTTCTTGTTCATGTTTTTTGTTTGTTGCGGTTGCACCCGATTCAAGAGCCGAATGGCTCACATGGCTATACCAAATAAATGAACTATGAACTATGAACATGCAACGTGCACACGTAATTATGCAGACATTTTGTTTTGTATAAGGGTCACATACCACGAGCTCCTTATTTTTAAATATTTCCATTGCCTCCTCAATGCTGCATGGTTCCTCGTTGCATTCTCTCTCCAGGTTTGCTGCTCGCAGCTCCTCGAAGGCGCTGTTAGCCCGACGCAAACGCGACAGAACTTGTCCAGCGTCCTGTTTTTCCAAAAACACTTCTTCCAACAAGAGGCAATCGTCAGGAAGAGTAATACCAATTTCAATTTACTGTACATTGCCACACCCATTTGTAATGGAGGCTCACCCATCCCACCCTTGAGAGGTGCGTTACTGTCCAGCAGTATTCACCCTACACGTGCAGAGACTCTCCACACTCCCTTCCACCGCACGTCTCTCCTTGGTTATCCTCGCAAGAGCCCTGTGCTAACGTTATTTATCTCCTCTCCTCCCTAACGTTCTAGAATCTCTCTTCACCTCCGCCCAAGTTCCCTCTGTCACCAATCCCCTCTCTCGACCTCTAGCCATCTCCATTTCCTATTCTTCCTTTCTCGCTCTTTTTATTTCGAATTTCCTGGCCAATCCCCTGGCGCTTTACTCACCCCCATCCACTGACCGGGCCTCTAGGCCTTGGGTACTGGTTATAATCCCTTGTTCATCATGACGTCCTTTCTACTTCTATGTCTCAATAGCGTTACGGAGATCGCATGACGTGAGGGTTCTGCCTTTGTAGTGAGGGTTGTAATTTGATGCTGAGGAGGGGGGAGGAGGCGCCTCGCCCCCCCCATGTGGAGTGACGTCACCCACTAATTATTAATGGGAGGGGGGTGTCCATTTGGAAGATGTCACCTCTTCAGGATTATTGAGGGGGCTGTTTGATGTGAAGTGACGTCACCTGCTCATGATTATTAATGAGGGGGGGTGCTACATGTGGAGTGACGTCACCCGCTCATGATTTTTAATGAGGGGGGATCCATGTGGAGGACATCACCTGTAAATGATTACTAATGAGGGGGGCTGACCGACGTGGAGTGACGTCACGCACGGGACACAGACATTCTTGGCTCATAGTAGTAAATACCAACATTGAGTCCAAGCGTGTAATTCTTAAAGTCAGTTTTGTGTTTCTTTTCAATGTTTCCCCACATGTAAATACATATTGTACATACATACAAACACACACACATGGACAATGTGTTTGTGTTTAAGAACCTCACCCATATCCCCAGATATTAACTCATGCACATCCAAAATACAAAGATCTCACGTATAGCCTTTCACAGACGGTTGGGGCAAGTGCTGTTAAAAGCTCTGAAGACCAAACATTGCACTTAAGGGGGTGATATGGTAAGAACCACATCCTGTGGCCTTTGTCTCCCCAGTTCTGGTATTTTTCAAACCACAACAAGTATTCATTTAAGGCTGGGTCCCCCTGGGGGATACCCAGGACGATTTCAGATATTTGTCGCTGAGCTGGAATTTAACCTGGGTTTCTGGGTATGTAGCCGTACCGCTCTTCAAACACACATTCAAGATCATGCACACAGCTACATACACACATGACACCGATCCGATTAACACGGTTGGCTACATATGGTGGGAAAGAAATTCAACATGCATGCAACATTTGGCCACCATTCACCACTAAATACCGTGTGTGTGAAAGGGTGGCAAAAACAACCCCCTACTTCCTCGCGGTGCCGGACAGGCAACTCTGTCGTGGACAGTGCTGTAGGGGGAGGTCCAATTTTGATTGGCTCCTCCCCTCATGGCATATGTGTCCACCACAGGGGCTAAACGGGGGCTCTGGATGGGTGCGAGGGGCTGGTAACCCCTACACCTTCAATTAATTACCACTAAACCACGAGTTAAACTGAAATATGTAACTAATAAGCTTGTGCCGGAGGCCCCGGGGGGCCAGGCATCTATGACGTCTCCTGGCCAAACCCCAATTGGCGGAGCCAGGAGATTGAATATCTACCCTCGGGGCTCCTCCAGAAACAACGAAAAGCCACTACGGGTGGCCACGTGGAATGTTCGAATGCTCACTGCGGAGGAGAGGCTGCCACTCCTCTGTCGGGAGCTGGACTGGTACCGCCTGGATCTATGTGGCATTCAGCAGGTCCAGTGGACCGGCTCTGGCTCCTGCCACCTTGAGGGGTGGACAGTCCTCTACTCGGGGCAGCAGACTGCCAAACAACAGGGTGTGGGTCTTCTTTTGAACAAAATAATGAAGGGGGCGTGGGAGCGTGGCGGTGAGGTGTGGGAAGCTGTAAGCCCCAGGCTACTTTGGGCTCGCCTTTCCATCAACCGGAGGTGAGGAATGGTGGTCGTGGTTACTTATGCCCCCACCGAAGATGAACATCCGTGGAGGGATGCAGGCAAAGCCGATGAGTCAGATGCCTTCTATGACCTCCTGTCACAGGTGCTGGCTAAAGTGGCCTCTCGGGATAGAGTCATCATGTTGGGTGACTTCAATGCCCGAGTTGGTCATGATACTGGCACCTGGTCTGGAGTGATTGGAGGGCATGGGCCAGATCAGCTCAATAACAATGGTAGGAGGCTGCTAGATTGTTGTGCAGCCCATGGCCTTGTAATTACCAACACGCTGTTCCGGCATCGGCGCATCCACACAACATCATGGATGCATGCTGGGTCCAAGCAAGAACATTTGCTGGACTACATAGTGACGGAGCAGCGGATGCGAGCCCATGTCCTTGACACCAGGACCTACCGTGGAGCTGATCTGCCCTCTGACCATCGACTAGTCATCTGTAAGATGCGCCTGCCATTCTTCCACTCCGGTGGTGGGTGTACACCCAAGACCCCATTCCAACCTAAAGTCGCCTGGTCTCAGTTATCTGATGAAAATTGCAAGCGAGAATTTCATCATCATTGCTTGCGGCTGGGATTGGCATCGTCCCCGACTCCTTCTGATGTCGAGGGTAAATGGGCGAGGTTTAGGACTGTGACTCATGCAGCTGCAATGGCTGCTTTGGGTACGCGGTCCAGACCTCCCCAGAGACCCTGGCTGACAGAGGAGGTGTTTAGGATGGTTGAGAAAAAGCGACAGGCCCACTGTCATCGGCTACAGAATCCCACGTCAGAGAATGAGGAGGCTTACCGCAGCCTTCGCTCGGAGGTTCGGAGAGCCGTGAGGCGCTGCAAGGATGGGTGGTGGTCGCGGGTTGCTGAGGAGATGGATACCATCATTAGGGGAAAAAAACGGTGATCCAATCTCCGACCCCCAGGAACAGGTTTGCAGATTTTCTGAGCATTTCTGTGAGGTCCTGGGGGAGGGAAAATCCCTCAGCCAGGAAAACATCGTGGCACAAAGTGAGGATGACCCTGCTGAGGCTGCGGTGCCTCAAATATTGGAAGAAGTTACCGCCTGTGAGTGGCTGGCTGAGGTGCCATCTGTTGAGGAAGTAGTGAAGGCAATCCGGAGTCTGAGACCAGGAAAGGCAGCGGGCAGAGATGATCTCCCAAGCGAAATGCTGAGGGAGGGTGGCGTTTGTGCACAGACTGCCCTATATGACATCATAACAACGGTCTGGACCACTGGACGGGTTCCGCAGGATTGGAAGGATGCCCTGGTGGTCCCCCTTTTTGAGAAGGGGGACCGCACAGACTGTAACAACTACAGGGGCATCTCACTCCTCAGTGTGCCGGGAAAGGTCCTGGCAAGGATTATTCAGCATCGCCTTGCCAGGCACGCTGAGGAGAGGCTTGCGGAGCCCCAATGCGGTTTCAGGAAAGGGCCGTCCTGCACAGATGCCATATTTTCTGTCTGCTACAGCAGAGATGTAGGGAATTCCAACAAGACCTACATCTCTGCTTTATTGACCTGGCCAAGGCCTATGATACCACCAGTAGGCCTGGGCTCTGGGTTGTTCTTAGTGCTTTTGGAGTACCTGACCCTCTGCTCACGATCATTAAGGACCTTCATGATGGTGAGCAGGCCTGGGTAAAACTTCGTGGCCGGGAGTCAGAGCCATTCCCTGTACACCTTGGGGTGCGACAGGGATGTCCTCTGGCTTCCACATTATTTAACATATATTTTGACCACGTAGTTCGTGAAGCCTTCAATAGCTGTACCGGGGGAATCACCATATGGTACAGATATAATGGAAGGCTGATCGATGCCCGGGTGTGGTCAAGGGATGGCTCCCTATTGCTCATGTATGCTGATGATTTGGTAATAGCTGCTCATTCAGAGGAGGAGTTGGAGACGCTGCTGCTGAGACTGGAGCGTGCCACTAAGAGGTAGGGCCTTACCATCAGCCCCACCAAAACTAAGCACCTGCCTGGGTATTTTGTACCATCGGACACTCCACCCCCACAACTCCCAATCGGTGATGGGGTAGTTGTGGAGAGAGTGAAGAGTTTCCCATACCTGGGCAGTGTGCTTATGACTGGCTCCAGTTTAACAGCAGAGGTCTCACTCCGAATCAGCTGAGCGGCAATATATTTTCATCGGTTGCGTAATGCTATGTGGAAGCTACCTGGTCTGTCGCTCCGCACTAAGCTTCAGGTCTTCTCGGCCACGGTCATTCCCTCCCTTCTCTACGCTTGCGAAACGTGGACCCCCCTAATGGAACATCTTCGCTGGTTAGAAACATTTAGGCTGGCCTGCCTATGATCCATCCTGGGTTTAACTAGACTGGATTGTGTGAGGAGCTCACAAATACTTGAAATATCTGGGCAAGGTCCCATCGGTGAGCTCCTCCGGCAGGGAAGGCTGCAATGGCTGGGTCATGTAGCCCGCATGCCCTGCCACCGCATGCCGAAACAGCTTTTGTTCGGCCGGATTGAGGGGGCTAAGCGGGCGCGGCACGGGCTAGAGAAGAGATGGAGTGATGTGGTACAGGAGGACGTGGTACCAGCGGTGTCAAGATCGGCCTCTGGAGGAGGCTCGTGAAGGACGCTACTGGGCAGTTGGAGGTAGTTGCCCTCCAACAACAACGGAGGGTGGAGGAGCGACGTTCAGAACAACGAGCGGAGCGCCGGGTGGCTAAAGCACAGCAGGTTGGCACAGTAGGGGGCACAGGTGGTGCATCAGCCAGTCATCTCAGTCAGTGGATCCGTGGCACCTGGGTCTGCCCCGTGACCTCCTGCCAGCGGGCGTTCGACACTTCACGTGGCCTCAGGGTGCACATAGCCTGGCACAAGTGTCGTGGTGACGTCACCGCCACTTAGTGGCGAATGGCGGTTGTTGTATAATAATACTCGACTGTGAAATATTTTACAGTACTACCAGTTCAAAGCTACTAGATTAGCACTGAGGTAATACATAACGACCGAATTTGCACAGGACTTTTAGTAGTTCTTGTTACATGTGTAGTGTCTTCAAAATTTACTTACATAGATACGTAACAAGTCAACTGCTTACACTTTATTCACCTGTTCTTGTGCCAGTTATAGGCACTACCATAACTATCTGTATGGACAGATATGCTTAACTTCTCCCCGCTCTTATCTATTCTGCACCTCACTTATCCTGCACTCAGCAGCTCTGCTCTCAGCGACTCTGCACACAGCAGCTTCGCACCCAGCGACTCCGCACACAGTGTCTTCGCACTCAGCGACTCCGCACACAGCGTCTTCACACTCAGTGACTCCGCACACAGCATCTTCACACTCAGTGATTCTGCATACAGCAACTTCGCATCTCCACCGCTGCCCTCACCTGCGCTCCCTCAGACCTGCTCACCCATCTGTCCCGGGCGGGAGGTTCAGCCAACAACCACCCGGCGACGGCGTGAGGGTTGAGGTCCCGTTGACGGCTGGAGCGGCAGCGGCGAGATGTCTTCACTCTTGGTTCCCGGCAACAACCCCCTCGCTCACACACACTCCCCCTTATATCCCCTGCTCATCCCGAGTTCTCACGTGTTTCCACTTAAGCTGCCGCCAGGCCGGCACCAGTTGTCCCATTAATCTCTTATCATCATTACTCGCCATCTTCTGTCTCCTAGGCGCCAACCTCCGTTCACAGCGTAGCACCTGTTTGACCTCAGTTGTACCCGCTTCTCCCCTTAATTACTGGCGGTTCGTCTATGCAAACCTCATGTTGCAATATGCACACCTGTTTGCCCTCCGTTGCACCCGCTTAACTGTGTGCATCACGTATTTCTCTCCTCTACACATGTTTGAGCATTGGCCTTGCCTTATTAGTGTACACTATTACTTAATTACTTCTACCAGGTGTTGTTTGTCTGCTA